AGTCTTCGTAATGTGGTCGATTGCGCCTAAAAAATATTATGCTACCCGAGAATAGTCGTGCCGTGTTTGTAGCATTTAATTAAACTGCAAGTTGCAGTTACATTCCTGACCAAAAAATTAACATATTTGCCTAGGGAAATTTGTAGTGTTAGCCATACAGAACATTATTGTTAGAGCGAAATTTCATTCTATTTTTTTCAAGGTTGTCGTCTATATAGACTAGAGTTGAACTCACATGTTTCACAATTATGATTATTAACCTGGCTGGGTGGGGTAAAAGGTTGCATGGGTTTTTAATGGTCTTTTACATATCCCTAGAATATACCACTGAAAAGGTCACAGTGTTCACTGAGACAAACATGGGTAGGCCTAAAAGTGCAGCTACACAGATTGTTACAATTTATATGTAGAGTACTTCAACGTGCTATCTTTCGGCCTGCTGATATAAACGATACCATAGCGTCAAAAGTGGCTTAACCTACAACCTTCCAGGGGTTAAAACGAATTTTGTATATTTTAAAGAGGAAAAACGCATTGCGTTAGGCTCTATTTCCTGTGGAAGAAGAGTATATAATTAGTTGATCACAAAGATTTTGGTGTTTTCGGCCCAGGGGGAGAGGTACTTGGGTTAATTTTTGTTGGGTATACCTTATCAATCCTTTAAATGGGTCCGTACCCACTCCCCAACGGGGGTTTTCAGAAACACCACAAGTTACGAAGCGACGTGATCATAACATGACATGACAATGACGATATGATTTGATTGTGATAATAACGTATAACGTAAGGCTAGCTGGTAAGGCGTCAGCAAATTCAATTCAACTGCTGGCTGGCTGAATAAATTTCTTTCATCAAGAACCTAAAGTAAAGGTAAGCTTTTCATTTGCCGAAAAAAGATGAAGCAGTGTATACCGGCTTTGTTTCAAATAATAGTTGGCAGCCTGATTATTACAATTGTTTGCACCGCGGCGAGTTTCACATGAAATGTTTGCAGCGTGCCTCTCAAAATACACCAATTTTGGTCTTTCGATTATCCTTTGAGAGGCCGAGAAGGACTCAATTTGTTTTTGGCTTGTAGCAGCGGTAAGAAAAAAAGAATTTGAAAACAAAAATAGCGATTTTAGTATATACCTACCAAAACCTCTTCACCATCGAAAAATAAAGGAAAACTATTTTTGGTCGCGAAATCGAGTGGACCACTTTTAGGGAGACTGCCTCTTAAGCTTCACACTAGGGGGAAATTAACCGCATGTTGAAAATCGCCTTCATTACAAACTGAGATAACGTTTACCCGAGCAAACATGTAACAAGTCAATAGTAACATTATTAATCCAAGTAGGGATGATTACCAAAAACGTACGCAATTAATTAAGAACATTAATTGACATAAGTGCAGCAATCACATAAAATAAGTTATGTTGTCTATATAAATGTTGATCAGGTCAAATATAAAACGTATGTACAAGAGCAAATTAATGATTCTTCCCTTGTCCTTAGTAGTATAGGAGGCATGAAATTAACCTCTTTTTTGAGCAGGAATCTCATTAGCGTGAGCAGGAATACATTAACGCCGATGACGTCATAGGCTATAGTCTTGATCTCATGAATAAAATACGCATGAATCTCATAAAGATAAGGTCATGTGCTATTTTTAGATGGATGATGTCATGGTTGGTATAACCGGTTTGACAGGTTTTAGTTATTTTCGGAAGATGATGTCATATGTATTCCGGGGTACTATGATGTCATAGTTGTTTTGAATACTTCAAAAGGAACAATAGGCTTGCCTAGACTTGCCCGGCTTCTTTTAACCCTGATAGTAAACAATCTATTATGTGTTCAACATAAAAGCGCGCTCTCCGTTCAGCATGTTACTCTTGCAATCGCTTTGCTAAGGAAACAATTTCGCTTGCCTAACTAAAAATCCGGTTATAAACAAAACTCAGACGCAAAAAAAATGGAGCTCAAACTCTTTATTTCAATCTATTGCAAACAGTGCTCTCTCTATAAAATTACTTTATCTTGATGTCTTGTTACACGCTCTGTTAACCAGTAGTAATTTGCATCTGACTCATGCCTCTTTTGTGTTCTCGCAAATTAACAATCATACTTAAGTCCTCTAACAAAAAGATAAGGTACCGTTTCATACACAATTGTTAGGTCTATTGAAAAATAAAATATTCCACTGCACAGTGCATCGACAACCGTTTAATTAATTTGTTATTGGTCTATCGAGCATTCGTTTGGTTCTTTTCTAGGAAAGATCTTACGCTGGGATCGTCCTTGTGTAAATAAATCCATTTCGATTTTCCATTGCAATAGTGTCTTATTTTCACAGGCCAGTAATTTCCATACGAGTACGATGGAAGATACGGATCATAAAGATGTCTGGCAATGCGGTACATTTCCGTGATCCCAAAGTCTTTTGGTAGGGTTTGGCATCGGGGCGCTCCTTGCATATAATTTTGTACAACGGGATAGGCTGCTTCAGACCAGACTG